TGAAGGACCGGAAGAGAAGAATGGACGGAACGGAAGGCGCTATGGGAGGTTAGCGACATGCGAGTTTCCTTTGATATCTATCCGGTTGGCTATCATAGTTCTACTCGTTGTTTGCTAGTGGGAATCGACAGAGATGGAACTCGGGATAGATGGCCACGAGTACCACACTCCGGAGCGTTTGCGTGAGTAGAGGTTTGAATATGGTGCATTTGTTCCTGTAGGCACATAGAGGAACAAACCCTGTAGCAGGCATAAATAAACATAGCCTAATCACTCTGTGCTGTATATATACGCTAGTGAGGTTTGCAATAAGGGAAGAAAGTAGACAAGATAGATTTCATTCCCCATCTGTTCCATTTGCCCTCGACTATCGGGTCAAGGTAATATGAGAATACTGGTATTGGTGTTTGTCCTCTCTCCCCTAGGCGACGATAAGCCAACCAGAGAACCAAGAGGAACGCGAACCCCAATTGCATTGGGTCGCGTACTCCAGTAGCCCGCCCAACTATATTTCATGGAGGAGAGCATTCAGAGTTTGTTTTTTGTTTTTTTTGGAGGGGAGGGGCTCTTGATCGCTTCTGGTCATTCCAGATTTTTAAATATCCCATAGTTTAGGGAGGAGTTGTTGGAGAGATATTTCTTGATTCTGTTGTGAGAGAGGCTGCTTTCAGAATGAGCAGTGGTAATAGAATGGAACAGTAGAGAGAATAGCTGTGGTGGGATAACTAAGAAAGGTGCGTACTTCGTCTCATCCTCACTCCTCTCTAGCTAATCGGTAATGACAGGTGTATAAGGAAAACATCATCAAAGCAATCCGATCTCTCCACGGATCACTCCACCCATCTCTGTCATTCCATCCATGTCCAAACTCCTCTGTCCACATCCGCGATAACAAAGGAAAGACACATCTCTAGAATCCAGTTCCAGCCTTCGAACAAATCTATCATGCTGCCAAACACTGAAACATACTCCCATGACTTCTGTAAACAACCTTGTCCTTCCATCGCACTTCCCGTGCCTTCCATGACCAACCACAACACACTATCTCTTGTGACTTCAACAGATTTGACAATAATGATCTATCGCCAAAACACCACCTTGGCCACCAACAATGGAAGTCGCAACCGTACTCATATTGAAAAGCAGTCAAAATGAATGGACTACTCTCCCATACGTTGTTTTGATAAATGCTATATCGAGTGTTGATTTCTGAGAGCCAACGATACAATAAATTTAGTGCTAGCACTCATAATGAAATAGAGCTATATATTTTATGGCTGGTGGTGGAGGAGTATCTGCCAGGGGGTTGGGATGCTGATTTGATTTAGTGAATAATCAGGAGCCCATTTCCCATTTGGCGACTCTCTCGCCGTGTCCGCGTGCCGCCAGTGGTATTATATCATAGTATATGTCACAGGGAGCTCTTTGACTTCTTAGTAATGACTATGGGGTACTATTCCCCAGCTCTATTCACTCCGATATTACACAGAAGCTGGGCTATATTCCCTAACCTAACCCAATGCAAATTCTCAAATGTCATACAGCTTAAAAACTAGAATAATCGGGGCACGTGATAAGACGTTGGATTCGCCCCTCTCGCTAATGCCAGGTGTTTTTCCTTATTTCTCCTCCTCCTTTTTCAATTATCTCGGAAAACGTGTTCTTTGATGCTTTGTGAGTACCTTGTCCCTTTTCCAGAGGCGCAAATTTCCGACCAGTATACCTAGCGCGTGGTTAGTCCAGTTGAGCTTTTACGGCAGTTAGAGCGCCGGTGCAGTACGGTACAGTACAGTGGCACCTCATTGTCGGGGATGGCCAAAATCCCAAGAATCTATCCGGGACAGTGCGTTGTCGGGGACAACTGGTCAGGTTTTAGTGTAAAGAAACTCATAACTCGGAGAAATTCATACGAGACAGCGAGGAACCTGGAAGAGCAAGATCCGGGGGTAACGGAGTGCGATTGTGCTTGAGCAATACAGAGTTCCTCTTCCCCTCCCACAGGGCCTAATACCTGAGTGGCAGAATTGTGCCAAATTCAAGTGATACTATCAGATTATCATACAAAAAGTATCACTACCTATCCTCTTGCCTAACAGCCCGCCTCCCTATCCTAAAATCATTATTACTGTAAAAAAAAAAATCTAGAGCCAAGGCCGAACAGAGAGCTAGATCATTTTTATAAAAAACAAAGGGGAGGAAAAAATAAAGAAAAAAATGTCCGCCAACTTACGACCACCCCAGGAGAGAAGCCGGACAATATAAGTGCCCTTCCCCTGCTACGCTAGCAGAGGCCATATCCATTTACCACTACCGTAGGCCCTCAACTTGAGGATTTAAGATCGATGGACACAGTAACACATTCCGCTTCGAGAATCCAACAGCGGAGGCGACGGATATCCCCCTTAACCCATCATCCTCACCTCCCGCAGCAAGCTGCCAGGGTGTTCTCAGGCTCTCCCAAACCGAGTACCAAAGATGCGAGTAACGGACAAAAATTCAACGACGATGCAAGTAAATCCCTAATGTCTTGAAATGGTCACCTGGTTTGTGTGGGGGATCCCCTGCTTCAAGAGTTTTCCCGCGTATCGGTCGATATAAGCCATACTGGCGAGGTAAGTGTTCCCCACTGGTATGAGTATCCTAGTGGTAGTGCCTAAGAGAATATGGAACCGTACTTGTGGAGGTTATTAAATTTTCATAATGGGACATGAGAAAATGGATATTCATTCCCAAGTTATGATGCAAAATAATTCAGGAGAGGGAAAAAAATACCATCATCCTCGGCAGAGGCATGTTGAGCATTTTGAGCATGTTCGCAAGACCTGGCCCTTGAAAATCTGATACAATATATGAACATGTGATCAGAGTTATGGTACATTTTAGAGAGAACGAGTGATATGCTGTGACAGAAAATAGAGGGTGTCAGGGGTCCTGCTAATTAAGGGGATCAAATGAAGGGAAAAAATAACAAGCACCGGTATTCCGAAATTTCCACCAGGAGATGGCTTACGAGCAATACAATTTCTCGCTCCTCCCTTCGCATAAAGTTTGCAGAGATAATTAATTATATGGGACCAAGGACCACGGCCATCCTACCGAGGGATACTAACGCCAGTGGCGAGCCAGTCAAAACAAACAATGATCAAGCTACCGAAATTTTTCGCGCAGTATAACGGCACAGCTTGTGCTTGCACATGTTAGCTCTTCCATCTTGAGATCAAGCGGTATGATCCAGTGCCCTACAGGTGCTTTTCTACCACACAATCTCGTTCCGCGTTCGAGCCCCCACCCGGGGCTCCCGAGCAGACGATGTGACATATATACGACCATACAAGAGGTACACTCACCCTCCGCTATCCCGGACAGCCAAAATCTAAAGAATCTTTCCGGTACAGTGGGTTAATCAAAACGGCGAGCCAAGTTTTGCTGTGGAAAATTCTTGGATTCACAGTATTTCATACGGGACAGCGAAGTATCCGTATCGTCGAGATCCGGGGCAGCAAGGTTTAAGTGTAGATTAATCGCCCAATGGTACGCCCCTGCCTATCCGGGACCTTCGTGTTAAGTAAGGAGCCCGAACAGGGTCCGCCACCTCTAATTAGATGACATGGGGAGGTTCTCGCCGAAAGGAGTCCTGGCCCGAACCCAATACCATAGATCAAAAAAATGGGACGGATATCCCCGCCCTTCGAGTAACGAAACTGCACCCGTGCTTTAATGCAAGCAGTTCAGTATCCCTTCCACTCATGAAAACTGCGGCCTCTTCTATCAGAGAAGTTCCTCATCACATGCCGGTAAGGAGCCATTCATGAGGTGATCAACCCATCAGACTCAGCTTCCTAAACAGCCCCACAACACGCCCACCGCAATTCCATAAACCCCATTGCACAGCCCACATGAGTCCGAAAATGGAAGTGGGGGGGAAAATCAGTTCCCGGAAAGATGAGGGAAAGCTCCCACCCGGGAATCCGTTCGGCGCTATCCCGGGCACCCTCCGATAAACCTCCATGGATATCCGCTACGATACTATCCCCCACGGCACGCAACCTTGTGAGCACTTGAGAAATCGTCTCGCTCATTCCATCAGGGTCACAGGGCGGCGCAGGGCCCCGGCTCCCCTCCGGAAGGGAGATGCATACGGACTAGTCACCGTACCGGGACGATTCCCGGGTAGTAAGAAACAGAGATTCACCAAGGCGGTGCATGGATCCGGACAGCACCCCACACCGTAGTGGCGTCCCAATAAATCAAAGCAGTCGAGGAATTCGTGGCAGAGCCACGGGCGCACCTCATCAGCAAAGTGGCTCGACCAGTCGCCGGTATTTCGAAAAAAAAAAAAGGCATTGCCGATTGCCCAATTCTTTGCTGACTGAATTCCATTGTTTCACCTCAGTAAGGGATAGAAAGGTGAGCCAATCACGCCAAAGTAAATCTAAAACATTCCTATGTTAGGCCAACGGTCTGATTTCTGTCGTCCTAATTCCTTGTATGGGTTTGGGTTAGTAGTGTCTTATTCTTACCATGCCCGGTTTTCCGGCTACCGAATGTAAAATCCTTCAGCAGAGTCCTGCAAGGAGTATACACCGATGTTTCCCTTAGCGTAGATGTCTAGAAATGATGTGCGCGATAGAGCAGAATCCAGCTATCTGCAGACTCCACGGTAAACGCTAACCAATACAGCGATTCCTGCAACTTAGCTGAAGAGTGCCCCAAGCCTGCTCTGCAGACCGTAAAGGATATTACGATACCTTGTCATATATCAGTACTGCAATACAACCCTATACCAGAATACCATTCTGGGTAAGCGTTGGTATGGAGATGGAGCATAGGCCGGCAGTCCTGAGCGCATCACGTACATACTTTTCTATACAATAGCGCGCCAATAGGGGAGCAGGGCATATTAATTGCACAAGAACTCGGCTTCTTGGAAGTTCGTCTGCTTCCTCACCCCTTTCCTTTCTCTTACTTTTCCCCACAACACTAGCTCCTTTGTGGGCTCTACCGCATTCCGTGATGTTACAACGACTCACAATCGCTATCTTAGCACTCACCGGCATTGTGTCGGCGATGGGGCCTGTGGATACCATAAGACAGCATCCAGAGCTTGCGAAGAGGGCACAGTTTGAGACGAGGAATGAGCCAGAGTCTGAGGTCAATGAGAGAAGGTCCAAGTCCAAGTACTATAACAGCAATACCGCCAGTATACCTCCTCTCTACCAATGCTCCTATCTGACATTGTCCGTTTATTCTACTGACATCCCATAGAATACTGGGTCAATGGCAACAAGATCCCCGACGTAAATTTTGATGTCGGCGAGTCATATGCTGGACTAATGCCCATTTCGAAAGATAAGAACGAGACAAGACAGCTTTGGTTTTGGTTCTTTCCTACGACGGGCACGGTTGACGACGAGTTGGTTATCTGGCTGAATGGTGGCCCTGGATGCAGTAGGTGCTTTCTGACTCTTCGAATAAATGGAGTTTGGCAGTTGATATAGCCGTGAAGGCAGTCTTGAAGGACTTCTACAGGAAAACGGACCCTTCTCCTGGTAAGAGGAGCCCCCGTCCTCTCCCGATCTGCCTGCACAAGAAGTTGACACGAGCTGGCAACAGGCAGTATGGAACCTACAAGCCAGTACGTAATAAGTATTCTTGGCACAATCTCACAAACATGATTTGGTTAATCCCCGAAATTGACCCGCTCCATTGAAGCAAAACTAAAGAGTAGCAGGATTGATCAACCTGTAGGAACAGGCTTCTCCCAAGGTGTCCCCGACGCAACCTCAGAAGAAGACATTGCAGTGAAATTCCTGGGCTTTCTCGAGAACTTTATCAAAACCTTTGGCTTTGAGAATAAGAAGATCTATTTAACCGGAGAATCATATGCAGGCTACTACGTTACGTACATATTGGATGCAATGTACAACAAGAACGACACAAAACTCTTTGATCCTCGAGGTCTCATGATCTACAACCCTACCCTGAGTGAATGGGTGGTCCATGAGCAGATTCCTATGGTTCCGTTTGTAGATTATTGGGCGCGCCTATTGGCCTTGAACGAAACTACTATGGACCGCCTCCATGACATGGCCGATAAGTGCGGGTACACAAGCTACCTGAATGAGAACATGCTTTTTCCTCCAAGGGGCCCACTCCCGACCCCCCCACATATCTTCACCCCCGAAGAATGTGACGTCTGGCGTGCTGCTTTACGGTACCCCCACACATATATATACTTCCTCACCCCGGTAAATGCGGACAGAGCTAACGGAATCCCAGGGCCGCCACCTTAGTAAACCCGTGCTTCAACGTCTACCATATCACTACAACCTGCCCTATCCTCTGGGACGTCCTGGGATACCCAGGAACCAACCATTTCCTCCCCGAGGGCGCGGAAATATACTTCAACCGCACAGATGTGCAGAAGGCTATCAATGCCCCGCATATGAACTGGGAGGAGTGCTCCGGTGACCTCGTGTTCCCCAACGGGGACCCGAGCGATCCCCCCAACTACTCGCTCCTGCCACGCCTCATTGACAAGCTCGAGAGGACGGTCATAGGCCACGGGATTTTGGACTTCAGATTTCCCATAAACGGGACCCTGTAAGACGCACACGTCCTAGGGCTGGAGGGAAAGTGCGAGTGCTAATGAGACGCGATGCAACACCGGTAGGTTGTCGATTCAGAATATGACATGGGGCGGGAAACAGGGATTTCAGACCAAGCCGACGGAACCGTTCATCGTACCATACGACAGCCAAGGTATCATGGGGGTGGTACACACCGAGAGAAAACTCACGTATATTACTCCACACCCATGCACCGAGTTTACATCCGGCTGATGATCCATAGATGGGTGGAAATCGAATGGTGCGGCCACATGGTCCCGCAATACCAGCCTGGAGTTGCCTACAGACAGTTGGAGTATCTACTTGGCAGAATCGATAAGCTATGAGCCGGTGGGGTGGTGGAAAAGAGTGCGAATTGCAAGGGCCCTGAGTGATCACAATGTGTCACTCGGCATTTAACTCATGGGGGTCGGATACGGGTTTTGGTTGTACTGTATCTTACGGAGCTATGATAGGATCCTATATTTACCAGGGGCAACTGCCTGCCATTAATTTGCTATAATAGATTTCTTTGCTCTATCCCTATATCCTATCCTCATCTGACCCATGCCCTCCACCCCACCACCAACCACCCAGCTGCAAGCGTCTGTCAGCTACAGTACGATAACACGCTTCCACCCCACTAACCCATTTCACCCACAATCCTCGCTATTACACCATGCCTAGCAAAAGGAACACTAAACTGAATCCAGCCGTATCCCCAGGATTTATTCTGGAATCGTAAAAGAGAGGAAAGGAAAACAAACGCCATTAACCCGCTAACTCGAGCCGTTTTTAAACCCCTATAGCAACCGCAAAAAAAGCATATATATATATAAAAAGTGAAAAGAAAAGCATCAGGCCACTATAGCGACGCTCAATTCCCGCCATCTCCATCAACCCCCCGCCTCGCTGGCCAACTCTGATGCCATGAGCGCTTTTTTGCCTTTGTCGACTGCATGAACAGTTGCAGCGGGAGGAGTGGCGGATGAGGAGAGGGCATTGGTATTGCCAGCAGTAGGAGCAGCGGAAGAAGAGTCAATCTCGGAGGGCTGTCGGGAGAGCACTCTTATGAAGGGCGATGAGGGTCTTGCTCGTTCCGGCCTGTCGCTCACAATATACCAATCAGCAAGGATACAATAGTACTAAGAAAGGCTATGAACACGCACATAACCACCCCCGGCCCACCACCCCCACCACTACCACTACCGCCGTTACCAGTACTCGAACTAACAAACAATAACAAATACTTCAAATTCGGCAGAGTATGCCGGATATCCATGACCCACAGCCCTTGAGAACTCATCAACTGTTCAAGATCCTTATTCAGCAAAAAGATCGCATACTCGAAGCGGAAGTAGACGCTGCCCTTCACCCACAGCGGGAACGTGCGCGCGCCAGCGATGACGGAGATGGGGTCACGCACGAACGAGCTGCTGCACAACGGCTGCAGCGGATAGCGCAGGCAGGTACCCAGGTAAAAGGAGAGGAGGTAAGCGACGTGCGCGACGTAGCCGAGCGCAGCAGAGACGGTGTCTGCGTCCACATCCTCGTGGTGCGTGTTTGGCAGCGGGAGGGAGCGAATGGTGAATGTTAGGGGGTGGTTTGGTATCTACAATATCCATTAGCTAGTTGGTCTGTGGAAGGAGATCGGGAGGAGGGAGGACAGGTTCGACTGGGTAGACAGTTTGTAAATCTTCCACTATACGGCGGCGTTGGGCTTCTATTCCCTTTTTAGTCTCTCCTAGGTGCTTCCTGCAGCGCGCGAGGCCAACAGCTGCTTCCTTAAGGTAGTTCTCTCCAGTCTGTTGAGCCTCCCGCCCGGCCGCCATTGCCTCGCGGCGCATTCTTAAACTTTGCTGCAGGAATTCTCGTTTCCTTACTGCTACGCCCAGGCGCTTCTTCTCCGAGGCCAAATAACCCTGCAGGGTCTTCCTGGCCTCCTGAGCTTGGGAGACTTCCCGGAGAAGTGTCATTGAACCGGACTCCCGCTCCAGAATTGTGTTTATCTGGTTGGAGACTCTGACGCTTGTTTGTTCGGCATCTTGGATGCAGTCTCCCAGATTGTTGAGTTTCATTATCGCGTCATAGGAGGCGGTGGACTGGATGGATGGACAGATGTGTTAGTTTAGCTGGCTATAAAAAATTTCTCGTAGATCCGGCTGATACACACTATTAGGTTATCCGCAGCAGAGGCGGTGGAGTGAACTGAAGCCGATGATGGACGTCTGAAAATTGGGAGATCCATGCGCAAAGCGGACAAAGAGAATGGCATATCCATAAGAGTAGTGTAGATCCCGTCCGATAGGAAAAATATGACAGAATTTGTAGGGAATGGGTGTCTGAAGTTCTCCAACTACTCTCACTCACCCCCAATTAGCCTTGTACAAGGTCGCGGTAAGGAGTGAAATTTTTTTTTAAAAAAAAAACCCCCCCCTGACAGGGAGGAAAAGGACAAAGTTGGAAAAGATGAATTTTGATGAACATTTTTACCAATAAACTGCAGGGCTGAGAGTGCGACATTAAACTCGGCAATCAGTCGGAATTGCCCCTGAGTGCCGGCCCATATCTTCACGGTGACTTTATCCAACCTAGAAATGTGCGGTCCGTTATGCGAGAGCTCGAAGAATTGAAAATTCGGATTCTATAAAACCCCTCTCCAATAAGCTCTCCTTCCAAAAATCCACAGGTCACAGAGCCCCATACCATAGATTTTGACACAACCTCACTGATATAGATTGGGTCCTCTGATCGCTCCATCAGCATCCTCCCACGGCCACACTCTTCATACTCCCGGCAGAACACTCACCACCACTATCAGCCCCGCTCCCAACATGCAGAGAAAAGAACACGTCCACCATTCTCCCCGCTGCAACGTCCTCAAGTCTCTTCTGCCTTGTCATGGAGCTCTCCAGACCCAGCGGATTCCCTCTCGTGCTTCGGCGCCCTAGTCGTCCACCAAGCCCGACATCAACGCCAACGTCCACATCCACATCCACACCCACATCCACCTTCGTAAGGTCCATCTCGGACTTTGCGTGAATCAGTCCCCCACCACTACCACTGCTGCCGCCACCAGTTGATCCCTCAGCGCGCACCGGCAACTTCCCCACTGACTTCCATGCCCCGACTAAAACGTCATCGTCGGAGGACTTTGTAGGGCGGGTAGATTGCGCCTTCTCCACCGAGGTGGTGAGATTCCGGAGGGCGATACCGGTTAGGTGGCGGAGTTTTCTGCCCTGTTTAACCATACATAGTTAGCTACCCGAATCAGGTGGGGGTATGAAGAGCTCAGATGCACAGATGACAATAGCAGCGGGCGCTCCCTGGACGTGGATTCAATTCCCGGAGCAAAATCCGCGTCTGGGATTCTCAGGCCATCACTATCGGATGGCATGATAGTCCCTTCAGGAGGTATTGCGGTAGTATGATAAAGACAGGATGGGCGAATTAGTGTTGTTGTAGATGGGATACGGTAGGTCTAGAACTCTCTTTCTCCGTTGCGTGAGTGTGGGATGGGGTTGGATGTTCAAATAAAGTTGTAAGCGTGCATGACGCTATCTCCCAGATGGCTGGTGTGACCCGATCAGGTTACAGTAGATTCATGAATAAGTGCGTCTCACACTAAGACATTAGGGCTGCCTCTCCTGGTAAGGACTGCCATATTTTCTTATTTATTTTTTCCTACTTGTCTCAGCGGGCGGCTGGAAGCCTATTTTTTGTTTGTCTGTTTTTGTTTTTCTTTTTCCCCCCTCTTCTAGTCACAACCCTAAATCCAAAGGGGGGAATTACTGACGTCTTAGCGCGAAGTTCAACCATTACCCGAACAGCTTCTATGGTACCGGTACCATACCCTTGCGGTCGTATCATATGGCTTTTACTGAGAATCTTTCTCTCTCTCTCCGCCAAATGATATTAGATTCCTTTAAATCTTAAAAAAAAAACTGCAAAAAGACTCACTGGAGAGCCCTTGTGATGTAGATCCTCCGCACTGAAGCGGTAACCGTGTGTTACTTGGGCCGTTTCCGGTGATTAATTCGGACACAATTTGTGAGGCGCTCCACCATCAAATACCGCAGAAACCATCAAACACAACGAACACACGACCCTATATCAACTATTATACTCATACAAACCCCCACCCCTCCACATCTCCCATATGCCACGAGAAATGTTACTTTACACACCCAAAGCCTTATTCCCTTTGCCCCCGGTAAACTCCCCCGATAGGATGGAAAAGAAAAAAAAAGTGTTTCCCACATACGCTAAGCAGAATAGGGAGTAAATAAAATAATGCGTAGAAAATACAACCAACGGAGAGCCCGCTGAGAGAAGAGGAGTGAATAAAATAAACAAGCAGAACAAGGCCGTCAGAAGTATACAAGAACTTAAAGCGACAACCCGCACCAGCTAGAATAGACAGTGAATGCAGAAAACAAGTAAGCAAATATCACCAAGGTCAAATAAAACTTCAAAATGTAAAGAATAGTGTCACAGCAGATATTATCCTAGAACATAATTGTTCAAGGGCAATGCTCCGCCGATAGTGAGGGGGAAAGAGAACAGAAAAAAAAAAGAAGCAAGAGCAAAACAAGCAAAGACAAGACAAGACAAAAAAACAAGAAGACTAACGACGCTGGAGAATGAATAATGCGGAGTGACTTTTTTGGAAAGCAAAGACTCCTTAAAAACCGTAAAATAAAATAAAGCAACCATCTTTTTCTTCATTCGTTTCCCTTCCTCTTTTTGTGACCGCCAACCCCACCCCACCCGACAGACGACCAACGCTCATGGGAGGTGGTAGGATCCTCACCAAGATCTTGTCAACCTTGCCCAAAGTCGAGCATCGATCCGATCATTCAATGTTGGAAATTCCCCACCTCCCCAACACCGCAACTTCATACCGACTTCAGTCCCCTGACATCCCCATTCAAGGACTTTCACCTCCGTATTGCCCAAACCATGAGCTCTCCAGCACCTTCCTAATATCCCACCTCTCCTCAGGCCGTATTGCAAGGCAACCTTTCACCACCTCAAGGACGTCCCGCGGACTCCCAGCTTCAGTTAGGCCCTTGCACTTCCTCAACTTCTCCTCGTCGTATTTACCACTCAAAATCTTATTCATCAGTTTGGGCTGAAAGTTATGTGAGAATGGCAGGCTTCCCGCGTGCAGCACGTACACCACAACGCCGAATGCCCATACATCCACCGCAGGAGTACAATGTGGGGGGCAGGGTGAGGACGACAGAGTGTCTTGGCCCGATATCATCTCGGGGCTCGCATATTCAAGGGAGCCCATCAGGGAGGTAGTAGTCGAGGGGAGGAATGCAGAACTGGCCGATCCAGAGGAAGACTTTCGGGAACGTCTCACAGTGCTGAAGTAGAGGCCATCATTACTGCTGTCATCATCGTCCTCGTCATCATCTTGGCTCTTGACAAACTCCGCCATTCCAAAATCACAAAGCAACAAGTTCCCTCCCTCATCACTATTGACCGACATATCCACAAGGCAATTTTCTAGCTTCACATCCCGGTGCATGATGCGCATGTCCTCATGGAGATACCTCAACGCGCAGGCAAGCTGGAAGGAGTATTTCTGTGCCAGCCTCGTGGATATTCCATGGCGGTTGGCCCTGATCAAGTCGTAGAGGGATCCTCCCTTGATGAGTTTTGTGAAAGCAAAAGTTGCAAAAGGGGTATCATAGACAGCAACAAGCGGCAATATATGGGGGTGTGAAATGCATCTCCATAGCGACACTTCATGATCAAAGTCCGCCTGAACTTTATCATTCTCAGAATCAACTTCACGTACTTTCTTTCGGACGATTTTCACCGCCCGCTTAATCTCTATGCCCCCCTCTATGGTAATAGCCTCCTTGACTACACTAAACCCTCCATAACCGATCTGCTTTCCAAGGACGTAGGAGCCTACCTCCTGGCCTTCAGAATCAGGCTCAACGGGCTGTGCATTGCTATTATTGAGACTATTTAGGAACTAGGTTTTTCAGTCAGCAATTTGAACCGTTGTGCGGACGGAAACCGGGTTACTGGTATAAAGTACTTACCAGGTTTGCCGGGCTCAGCTGCGAGGATCCCCCATACCTAGGGCTAGCCGATCGATCACTGTGGGCTCGCCTGGACCGTGACCTTGGTTGGGGTTCGAATGTATAGGACTTGCTTCTCGTGGAGGGTCCAACTGCGCGAGTGGGCCAGATCGGTGAGCCACCCTGGAGGCGATCGTTAAGTGGTGAACTAGCGAAGGGTGAAGTGAAAAATTCTCCAAAGGCATCCGATTGAGGGGACGGGGTGTAAAACTCGTTGGAGAGTGGCGACATGGTAGAATCCGAAGTCAAGGAGGCAACTCGCTCAGGATCATGATCCGGACTGGCCAAAGGCGTTGGTGAGAGGAGCCGACGGGTAGAGACACGACGCTCACGGGTCGACCCATCCCCATTCCTATATCTTGTAGAGCCTTCGCCATAGTGAGAGTCTTGCTCTGACCAGGCAAACGAGCGGACTGGTGGTTGTCTGTTTTCAAAGTATTCTCCTGTCACGGTCGAATCCGGTTTGATTGGTCTCGGAAGGTGTGACTGCAAAGGAAACTGTGTGCCACCATCAGCCCTGACACGAGGGTCAAAGGCGATAGATGACTTTCGCGCCCTGTTTGCTTGTTCGATGGGTGAAATAAGGCTGGGGTCCCTAAAGGTTCCATCCTCAACCCCTCCTCCTCCATTGCCAATATTCTCGAGCGAATCCTTTGGGCCGATATCTATCCCCCCGGATGAGAATGCCTGTGGTGTAGGGATGGGGGAGCTAGCCGTACGGCCATTGTGCGGGTTGACGAAGGGAACATTCCGAGGAGAAAAATTGGAGGAATCGGTGGAGCCAGAGCGAGCAACCGAATCGAAATTCAATGTATCAAACCTGCTGTGAACATTGGCCAAACGGTCCATCGCATGTGCGATATTGCACTGTGACGGAGTGTGTGAGGGTTAAAGGTTGTCGTCCTCAGCAGCGGCAGAATTACGTAGGTGCAGCGTTTAAGAAGGTCGGCGGGGGGTGATTAATTCCGTCCTGGAGTCTGGGTAGCGGTTACAGGGTTTTGGCTGGTAGCAACCAAGCACGGGACAACAAGAGACACCGGTAGTCTATTACGATGCGTCACAAATGAGGCACAATGAAAGAAAAAAAGTGGGCACTTCAAAAGTAAAAGAGCATGGGAGACAGGTGTGTGCTCGAGTATAGATGAAGAGGATGGGGAAAGTGAAAAAAGTGAAAAAAGTGGGAGGAGCGGAGAGTAAGTAGACAGCGATCAAAAGACGAGAGGGCGGAGCCCCCCGGATGTACGGCGGGGAGAGTAGGAGAAAGAGTGGATGATATGGAGTCAAGCTAGCAGAAACGAGTAAACGAAGGAGGGGGAGCCGTTGGTTTGTGTGGTGTGAGGTGTGCGTGTGTGTGGGTGGGCGGGTGGGTGGATGGGTGTGGTTACAAAAGGCTATGTGTAATGGATAACACGATGATTTCTACCGGAACCTTGAAAGGAGAGTGTGAATGAGAGACGATGCAAGAAATGCTTGGGAAAAATAATGACAAGGAGATGAGCCGGTCCGGCCAGAGAAGAGCGTTGCGGGCTAGCAGCAGAAAAGGGGAGAAGAGAGGGGGAGGAGAAAGAGAGGCAGAGACGAGGAAGGAGAGGTTATGATGCAAAGTGCGGTGGAGAGAACGAGCAATAGAATGAAAGGGATGAGCCAGGAGAGATGGCTGAAGCTTTACGGAGTAGGGTCGTGAAAGACAAACACGAGACCTTTCGACTGGAATACAACTTACAAGTGCCAGTACCGGTATGCAGCGGGACCAGAGAGTGATGCTAGAGAGAAAGAAGTGAGAAAGCCAGTGTCAGTCAAGGAAGAGAGACAGAGGCTGCCAGCACGCAGGCCAAAAACATTATTGTCAGGGTTTCTCCCCCCCGAGATTGTCTCTGCGCTCCCAGGATTTGCCCCGAGAAGCCAAGACTCTCACCCTCCTCTTACTGGAACGGTGCAAGTATCGGTACGGTACCGTACCGCTACTCCCTTCCCTCTCTCCAAAGGGAAAAAAGGGAAAGAAGCGAAAAGCCTGACCGCACCGCATGTTGACCCCACGATCAGATTTTTGCACCAAGTTAACGTCCAGTTTGGACACGCCCCCCTGTTCGCGCGTCAGAATATCTGCGGGTTCAAGGGAAGGGACAACTCTTCGGTTGGCTGCCGTTGGCGGGGATGAGGCTTGGCCTTCGCATTGGGGTCTGCGTGGGTCTCAGGACGGGGGTCTCTCCATATGATCTACCGGTACTCGAGTACTAGTACTCGAGCACTATCGGTACTGATGCTGTATCCCACGAGCACTCTGCAGTACCCCCCAATTGGTATTTGTGTACTCGAGTACCGGTAGAGAAGGGCACCCCTCTGAAAACAGTCAGGGAAAACAGAAAGGAAAAAGGTGTGGTGGATAGCGGAGCCAAGCCAGTTCGGGGATCACACCTTTACCGGAGAAACTTGGGAGACAGCGTGGGGTAGCAACTGCTTTAGGTGTGAGCCTCTTGTGTCGGTTGTCCTCCGCCCGAAAACTTTCTGCCGGCAATTTCACTGCCAAGCTTCTTTTGGGCTGGATCGATGAGCAGAAACACTCCCAGAATCCCAGTTAACTTACAGACATTCCACCCGTCTGATTGCATATATTTTCAAGATTCCCCCCACCCTTGCTACCGTCGGCCATGAATCTCGTGATAATATTTGATTGCTGTGCTCGAGTACGGTACTATACTTGTCGGTGCATAAAGTATCTGTATGACTTGGCGTCGGGACTCCTCTGTTTGGGCGCAGACTGGGAGATATCGGCGCCAAGGCATCCCTATATTTTATGAATCGACAAGTACGATAGTCTATTCTGGTAGTTCCCCGACTACTGCATCCGAAACCTGCTTGTCTGGGGTAGGGCAGACACCGGTATGGCATAACGCACTCTGCCTACCGTATATTTTGAGCAGGACAAAAAATGGAAAAAACCACTTTTAATAAATGTGCCATATCACTACAGTAGTACTGTACTCGAGTACCGGTACTCGCACAGTACCATTGCCCAGTGCCCACCACGCTAGGGATCCAATAGTTCGGGTCCCAATTGCTTGCGCCGTCTACCGGTACCCCCCCCTTTGTGGTTCGTCGTTCGGTCGGGGAAGGTGATCATCGGAGGGGAAACTAGGCCGTCTTCTCCAGAATTAGGGACAGACCGGAAGATGAAATACCATAAGCTATTGGTAGGACAAGAATCACGATTTCCAACCCAACTTAACTCCTTCGCCGCTAACTCTATCTAGGCTCCCGGTGGGGGCTGTGAGAGGCCATCCTCCGTGCGGTTCTTACTCTAAGAAGGAAACACTTCGCTACACCCGCATTCGAGATCATGGTGATGGTCGGTGCGCGATATCCGACCAGCGGAAAATTGTTTGCTCGCTTCAATTACTAGTACTGTACTCGAGTACTGTACCCGAGTATCATACTCGCACCGTAACGGTGCTTACCACATCACAGACTCACGGCAGCGTGTTGTGCACCTTGGCAACAGCATCGGAGTGCTCGCAGCGCGCGTACCGTGCTCGAGCAGTCTGTCCTACGGTATTCGAGTACGGTACCATATACCGGTACTCGAGTACAACTCTTGTGGAATGGCGCCAGCATCCTGCCGGCAGACCTTCGTGGGTTGTTGGTTAGACTATGCTCATCACAAGCTCCAACCATTCACTTCTGCTTTTTTTTTTTCCTTTTCTTTTTCCCTCCTTCCATTTTTCCGCCCCCACCGGTACGAGAGATCAGGGTGCGGCAGCCAACCCCCCGCGAGAGTGACAAGAGATTGCACGAACGAATAAGCATAAAAGAGGAGAAATAACACGCCTTTTTAGTCCCTCCCACCAATCAATGCTATCATACTCGGCTTTCAACGCGATACCCACGGCGCCGCAGATCCAATAGCCGAGTGCCGGCACGGCACCATACGGTACCGGTGGGCATCGGTACTCGTACACAAATTGCACAAGCTTGCTGGCCCTAAGGTCGCATGGCTGTGCGAGATATATTTTGGTTCCGCGGAGCGCTTCGTTTGTTGATCAAAGTGTTTGGCAACCGCGGAGATATTGTGCCCCATCGTTCAGTTTGGCCGGCAAGTTTGCCACGGCACGCTTCACCATATTATAATAGCTTTACCCTGCCTCTCTCTTCAGGGCGAGAGCTGTCGAGCGCATTGATGCCGTGCGGGTACTCGAGTGCATGTAATTGCGGCTGGTGTCATACCGTGATGCTCGTACTCTACACGCATGCCATTACTTCCCTTCCGCCCCCGTTATCCGCCGTAATTTTGTCACGGCTAAAGGCGCTGAGGACAGGATTGCCTTGCTCTCCATGTTGCTCTCATGAATGTTGAACCCTTCTCCTTCATTTTCCCGTGATAATGTGAATCCTGACCAATTCTGATTCCCCTTTTCGGAAGACGGTGCCAGTATTCTTGGCACGTTATCCGAACCCTTTCCCTTGGTGCGCCCGACTCGCAGCTCGCACGTATCGACACCCCGTTTACCTGCCCGCCTGCCTACCTGTCCGCGACGGAGACTGATTGGCCCCCCCGCTCTACCCTGCTCCATTCTGGCCTGTCCACTTTCTTGCCTGCACCGGAACAGGAGCTCTGTCGACTACGGAGTACGGTACAGCCTCAGCACCCGCACATCATCCATACGAGTGCTGTAGTCCACTCTGAGTGCATACCACGTACAGTACACTGCCGTACTCATACATACGCATACATATCCTATCCAACCTCTTGCGAGCATCCCCCTCTCTCCCTCCCTCCGTCCCACCACCACCACCACCACCCCTAAAAAAGCATCTCCTTCCCCCCCCCCGCCCCGGCCAGCCTCGTCCCGTCACGAGAGCACACGAGACTCTCGTTGCCCTCCTTCGCTGTCCTGCCAACAGCGCATGAGATCCCCTCCTTCCCTTCGTTCGCTTGCTCTTCAAGAAGGACAGTCCGCATCTTCCCGATAGCCTATTTTCCTGTCACCTTTTTCTTTTTTTTTCTTTCTATTCCTCCATACTCATTTAATTACACTACAGTACATACATACATTACCATACACTATAGCTGTGCTTGCTAGCTGTCAACGAAATAAGAAGAAAAAAAGAAAAAAACATGACTCGTCCACAAATCGTAAGGGCCGGTAAGTTCGCCTACTCCTCTTGCTGGGCTGGAGCTCTGGAGATAGTTGTCGACCTTTTCAACCCACCCCCCTTCTGAATCCTCTCCCCCCTTCACCGACCATATCCTTCAAGGTGCAGAGAAGAGCCGGGCTCTCCCATCGTCACCACTCCCTCCCCATCCTTCCGTTACCGTCAATCCCCAAGACATATCCCCGCCCGCCCACCCACCTTACTAATGATGCTTTCATTAACTAAAAAAATATTTGGTGGTTCAGACACGCTTGATCTACAGTCACGCGATCGAGCCTCTGCGCAGGATCATTCGAACGCCCCTAGCAGTCCGAGGAATACTGCAGGGTTTGCCCCTTCTCAATCACAGGCTATTCGCAATGTTTCGACAGAGCAGGCTCAAGCGAAACAGGTCCCGGAAAAGTCGGGTGATCTCCTGCAGGATTCCGATGTAGATGAGGTTGAGCGGGATTTGGCTGGATCCGAGGAGATGGCCGGAGATGATGGAAGCTTTGACGATGATGAAATGGGCGATAGGATGTCGAGCAGTCCCAGCATCGCTGACGGTGCGTAGTGTTGCTGTTGTTTTTGGCCGCTGCTGGAAGGTGGGCTAATTGATGGGTGTCTGTGGGCGATAGAGGATATTGACTTTGAGATGGTTTATGCTTTACACACGTTCACTGCTACGGTCAAGGGTCAAGCAAATGCCACCAAGGGAGAGCACATGGTGCTTCTAGATGATAGTAATTCCTACTGGTGGTTGGTCAGAATTGTTCGTGACGCTTCGATAGGTAAAAATGCCTGCAAGATGCACCGCTGTCGTAATTCCTGCTGACATCTGACGCTTGCTTGTTTGTTTAGGATACCTTCCGGCAGAGCATATTGAAACACCTACGGAGCGATTGGCACGCCTAAACAAGCACCGCAATATAGATCTGGCATCAAACATGCTCAGCGATAATGCTCACGAAAAATCAAAGAACCCTCTTCGGAAGGCTATGCGTCGTCGCAATGCTAAAACCGTCACCTTCAGCCCTCCGACATATGTTGAAGCATCGGAATATGAATACTCCACTGATGGAGAGGAAGGGGAGCGCGAATATTATGCTGAGGACGAGGGGCAGGACCAGGAGAGGGACTCTAACGATATTGAGCGTGTGGATTCTGGTGGAGCGTCCAGCGATGAGCGATCCAGATCAGCACCGGATTCAAGAAATAGTAGCGATACCCCCCGGGATGACGGGGATGTAAAAGTCCGGAAGAATCCTGCCCCGGCCTCTTTGAGACATCCCGACTCGGCCGTCTTTAGTGACGACAAAACCGAAACCAAGAAGCTTACCTTGACCCCAAATCTTCTGCGCGACGACGCCACCACCTCGGTTGATCATGTCCGAGGCCGATCGTCAATGGAAAAATCGTCGAAACGGGACGATGGTATTACCTCGCCTCAACCTGGCAGCAAGGATTCTAGGAAGGCGAAGAAGGGTGGAAGTGTACTTGGTAATTTGTTCAAGAAGAGGAACAAGAAAGGGAGAAAGGACGACGAAGATGATCTGGAGGAATGGCTTCATAGCGGTGATAGGGCTGATAAGCAGAACGCTAGCATCAGTTCTAGAGAGTCCGAGGATAGCCAAATGGAGAGTGTGAAGAAGGACAAGGAGGAATTTCACCGGCGCGAGGAGCAACGAAGACAGCAAGCTCAGCAAGCTCTGCAGAAACAGCTACAGCAGCAGCAACGGGAACGGGAACGGGAAGGCCCCCGAAAACCGACCGTCAACACCGGAGCACCTTCGACCATACGCAGGGTTGAGTCCGATGGTTCGCCAAAGAGTGCCGATAGGGAGAATATGGACGATGTGCAGGTTCATGGCCCGACAGCTCTTCAAAAGCAATCCGTTGAACTTCACCGTAGTGATTCTGCCTCCAAGCCACTTTCTGTGTATGCTCCTTCCGGTCGAAAGAGGTCAACATCCTCTGAGCGTCGCGGCGGGGAAACGGATAGAGGCCCTCCAGCTGAAGTGAAGCCTATTACCATGCATCCTCTTGCTGAACCAAAGGCCTTAGAAACCGCTGCAAGCAAAGAACCAATTCGGAAGCCTTCGAGGGATAACATGAGACCAGCGTATGTTCCAAACACTTATCAACCCGCTCCGCAGCCCAGTAGTTATAGTAGCAGTGGAAATGAATCCGGGGCTAGTGAAAGTGGCAATGGTCACCAGTTTCCGGAACGCCTTTCTGAATCGCCCGAGCATATTTCATACCACGATGCCATCTCCGACCGACCTGATATGCTCGATCTTTCCAGCAGTTCAGAGAATACGTCCCCGATACACTCGTCACCGGAAATCATCGATCGTGCAAATACATTGGAGTCATCCTCACCTGAATCTCATGCAATGACCCGCACTTGGTCAGATTGGAGCCTAAGGACATACTTTGAGGATGATAACGATGTTAGGGACATGTTGATCGTGGTTCAACAGGACAAAAGCAATGGCTCCACACCTAAGAAGGAGCATCCGGACATTGGTCCACTTTTTGAAGATGCCGGCACCAAACTTGCAGACATTACAAAGGTAAAAGCTCGCTCACTTTCTCAAATTGCCTGGCGCCCGACTAACCGTTTGAACAGCGTCTTGACGGAATGCTTGGCGACTGGCTACAACGTAAAGGCCGGGCTAGGCCTTAGCTTAGCGGCTTTTATCTTTAGGTTTCTCCATTGCTTTTTTTCCCCCCTCAATAGCAACTACCATCCTCCCACATCTTTCCTTTTTCAAGTTTTACCTATTTTCCTTTCGTTGGAGTTGTGTCTTTATTTTGCTTTACTTCTGGTTATCTTATCTCGGAGGAGGATGTCAAATGGGAGAGCTGTAACTTATTTTTATAAGCGAGAACTAGAGGGAACGTTTGGCAGCAGGGGTGCTGGTCGAAAATCGCAGCTTTTCCGGCTTCTTTATCCTATTCCCTTATTTCCATTGCTATTGCTATCGGACGGAGTTTTGTGCAACGCAGGATACCCGCAAGCTGTGTTGGCGGGTCTTTTCTTCTTTTTTTTCTCCCTTTCCCTTTGCGTTTCCCTTTTCCTTCTCTCTTTTTTCTTTTCTTCTTCCATCTACCGGCGGCGCTGGGCTGGCTATTTACACCCTCCCTTTCCTTCCTTTGTCCCGGTGTTTGTTCCCTTTTCCTTCTTGATTAATTATACATTGTGGATGGGATAGTCGTATCTCGATGGGATGTTAGGAGTGAGAGGGAGAGAGGTGCTGGGAGTAAGAGGGATGGAAGCTTATGAATATGTTTGGAATGATTGAATAACCCAGCCCGTGTTCCCGTCTGTCCGCGTGTCCACTCTGTTCACGGGCAAAACGTCTGTCGGGGCCATCGAATAACCTTGACATCGAACCCGATCTCTGTATGATTTGGGGAGGAAAAGGGTTGATATTTTACATCATGAATTATCACTCAGTGATGGGGCATCGCAGCGTTATCGTGGCAAACGGGAGAAATTCTATTTTTGAGCTGTGCGAGTGACTAGGATTATGTTATTAAAATAAAGATTACTGGTGGGATTAGAGCCTGTTGCGCTGGACCCGGCGGAAATCTGTAGCACTGGAAGGAGCTGAAAATGGGTTTTCTCTTTCGAGTTGTCGGAGCCATTGTGTGGAGAGAGAGGGGGGAGGAATATTAGCTCCTGTCTGAGGAGTGAGTCTAAAACAGAGCGCCAAAAGAAAGCGGGAGGGTGAGAATGACCCATGGAAGGGGTATATATGGTGTACTGGGGAGGGGTTATCAAGCGCCGGAGCCTCACCATGTCCTGTCGCATCAATACAGCGCGATCACCGCTTCTCAACCGTTCTCTTAGCCTCCTACTTCCCCTCCAACACCGTGGCAAAAGCCACCCACGCACGCTCCGCCCATCTAGGGCGGCAATTATGGCAGGCGCTGACGTCGCACCCCTTGCAGTGGTACGCCCAATTGAAGGGGTGGCGCCTGTGGCAGATCTTGCAGATCCTGTTGGGTTCGCGGGTCAGACTTTCGTGGCTGCAGGGGCCGCTGGTGATGACGACGACTGGGCCGCTTGCGGGGATGATGATATTGGTGGGGCCCGCGGGATCGGTAGAAGCGGTGTTTTCGGGAGGGGAGGTACCGAGTATGGGGGCAGGGGGTGGTGTTGGCAGTGACATATTTTTTTCTTCTTCCTTTGTTTGTGCTGGTAGTGGTTGCGGTTGCGGAAGATTTGGGAGATTTGGAGGATTTGGGTGAGAGGGCGGAGGAGGAGGAGGGAGGGGGGGGGAGGAGGAGGAGGAGGAGGAGGGAGAGGAGAAGTGTTAACCGGCACCACATTACGAAGCATCAATCGTGTTGGGTGATTTTTTGGCGTGTTGAGGGGTTTGGGTTAGATCTGGGGTAGAGGGTCCGTCATGGTTCTCACTCGGACCTTTACAAGTATTTCGCCAAGATGTTTCAACGGGATGGGTTGGTGGATCTGATAAGATGGTTGCTATCGACCCCCGCTGTGAGGGAACAGGAGTGATTACAGAACTCTCGCTAAGAGAGAGATCATGGACTGAACGAGAAAGGGAGACCATCTACAGTACTCGTGCGGTACTCGACCAATTTACCTGTACGAGTATGTATGTATGATACCGTATCCATCCATCCAGCTAAAATGACGACAGTGGATGGAGAAAGGGCTGAGATTCGGTACCGGTAATCAGGCCGGTCAGGTCTGGGTCTCCGATACGCACTTTTGGGAGGGTTGGCTGGTCACGGTTCGCATCACGGAGGTTGTTCGTTCGTTCGCTGTGCCCTTTCCTTCCCTTCCTGTTTGGCCTACTCGAGTGCCGGGCGGTTCTGGGGAGGTCGCTGTGCAGGGATCAGTCTATCCTGGAAGGGGGAGAGTGTGGTTGCTCCCGTCCTTCTCTGTCCTATTCTGTCTCCAGTGAGCGGCGAGTCCAGTGAAAGTAAACAGATGGTTCGCGCCCAACAACTTTCAGCTCTCTTTCCACATCAGGCTCTCTCTCTCTCCTCTCTCTCTCTCTTTTTTTTTTTTTTGCCTCGGTCCTCCCGCCAGCTCACAATTCCCCGACCCGTAACCGAAGGATAGGGAAAGAGACCCCCCTTCCTCTCTCTTTCCTCCAACCACTGCTCTCCCATCTACAAGCGTTCAGGACATCGGTCGGTATCTTGGTACGAGTACGCTGCTACCGTACATCCAGTCTCCAATCCCCCCCCTTCATCTGTTCATTGTATCACAGACCGAATCGAGCGAGGGAGACAATTTAGCTCATTGAACACTTTGATCCCCCCCTTCCCTTCCCCTACCCCACACTCTCCCTCCTTTTACCCTATTGCCCCCTTCCTCCCTCGTCGCCGTCCTCTTCCTCCTCACTCGCTGTATCCCAGCTTTGACTGCAGGTCGTGTTGCCATCTGACGCTACCACGTCGCGGAATCCCAATCACCTTGATTTCTTCCGCTCCGGTACAATCTTGTTGTCGTGATCAAAGGTTTGTCCCTTCGACTGTCAATCCCCCGATCCACCAGCCCCCCCCCCTAACCACAACGCGACCTTCTCCTGACAACCAAACAGCCCCCCATCATCTGCCCATCCACTCACTTGTGCCCGTCGTTAACAGCGTTCCACGGCAAACAGCTTGATAAACGATGGTTGACACGAAAGAATTGATCCGAAAGGAGGTCAAGACCCTCACCTCGTCCTCCGCCCATGGTCGCAGCGGGTTCATGAGGAGTGATGGCTACTTGCAGGTAACTTGATGTTTCCTAGGAGGAGGAAGATAGTGTTTTAGTGTGCTGATGTAGGACTTGGAGTATTTTAGCTTTACCTCTCCCAGCTTCAACACAATCCTCTGTAAAGCTCCCTTCCCCCCATTGCTCTTTGACGTGTTTTTTATGATTATTATTCCGATGTTCCCCCCCCCGCTCTTCCATGACTCGCTACGCGATGTGTACCTGGGGAAGTATGGCGTACTGACGGCGGTTATTTTTTTTTCTTCGCGCGTAGGCGGACCAAGATGCTCACCTCGGGTACCCTTTCCGCCCTCCAGGAGATCCTCGCGTCCGTTTACGCCGGTGATCGCGACAGGAAGGGATCCTACCTCACCCCTCGTGTGCCGAAGATGGCCATCTACGGTTCCCTAATATCCGCTCCGCTCGGTCACATTCTCGTGACCTTGCTCCAGAAGGCGTTCGCCGGTCGCACCTCGGGCAAGAGCAAGTTGGCGCAAATCCTAGTCAGCAATCTTGTCGTGTCCCCCATCCAGAACTCGGTCTACCTCGCCTGCATGGCCGTCATTGCCGGCGCTCGCACCGTGCACCAGATCCGCGCCACGGTCAAGGCCGGCTTCATGCCGATTATGAAGGTGTCTTGGTGCACGAGCCCCTTGGCGTTGCTATTCGCCCAAAAGTTCCTGCCGCCGCATGCGTGGGTGCCGTTCTTTAACCTCGTCGCCTTCGTTATCGGGACTTATATCAATGCCATGACCAAGAAGAAGAGGATTGCTGCGCTTAATAAGAAGAAGGTTCGTAAAAGAGACCATCTCAGCCCGACCGAATTCTCCATTGGGCCCTTTGAACTTATGATATGGACAGTCGCGCGATAGGAAGGACATTTCCGAGACGAAGGAATACTACGTGCGACGGGAGTAGAGGGTAGAGAGAGAGAGAGAGAGAGAGAGAAATAGTGATAGAAAAAAGGGATTATTTTTTTCTCAATGAAAGGATTCTCCTTTCCTATTTCTATCACTTC